GGAACAAACGAGCGCTTATGTAACGCACACAATGGGGGCTCTACACAGAGCGGGCGGCGTGGCCGCAAAACCGAAGGGTCAATGGAGGTTGCTTGTGAGGGCTAGACTCACCACGGGACACCCATTTTATGGGGTTTAGGCGTTCAGGAAAAAAGATATGAATTTTTGAAGATTTTTAAAAAACGAAAATATGAAAAAACCGCCCAGCAGCGCATGTAACGGTTAAAAAAGCACCCGGCAGCAAGTGGTTAACACAGTAACAGACAGCCAGAGTGACAATGAGGAATGCATCCTCTTCTCTTTGTTCCGACCATCACTCTATGAATTACACTTTAGGTAATCTGCTGTAAGAGCCTCTTCAAGACTGGACCCGGACTTGGCTTAGACTTGACCATTTGGACTGGGACTTGAACTGGACTCCGATTAAAATGGACTTGAATTTGGCTCGGACTTGGTTAAAAGTGGGCTCGACTGCATCACTTGAAGGTTATAACATACCTGGTATGGCTCGGGAAGCAAGTCTTTGCTTGCTGCAGGCAGCACACCCAGAAGTTGCTGGAAGGGCAAGAACGGCTCACCTTTCTCGTACTTGAGATCCAAGTTGCTTATTCCCTGTAGGTCTGACATGTAAGGGGCGTAGTGGTAAGGGTAGAACCTACCAGAAAATAATCAGAAAGGAAAGATGTTGAGGGGATGGGAGACAATCCCATAGCAAGGATAGAACACCAAGAATATTCCACATTGCAACACAGGACAGAAAAATGACAGGCAACCCACTGATTATGTAAAACAAATCTCTGTTCCCGACAGGCTCTTCTCGGCAGATGGTTGAAAACCCGGATTATTGTTAAATGAAGACTTTCTCCTTCAAAGTATTGGTTTAATTTGTGAAAAAGACTTTCCTTAGCAAGGTGAAAGTGGAGAATTTCCATGTTTAACCCCTTCGCTACGGAGGATTGCTACTACCGCACCGTTGTGTGAGGATTAGTGCATACCACACATACAGTCTATTCACCATGCAGCTGCTGGTTCAATGGGGCCTGCTGCTGGACAAACCCTCCATTCAGGGCAAACCACAGCCCAGCAGTCGCAGTCAAAATAATCCCGCCATGAAGGGGTTAAGTTGCGCTCAAATTCAGCTGTAAATTAAGAATTCTTTGAATGCAACACAGAGCCTTCAGATAAAAATTTTCAGTTTCTTTAACACTTTGAACCACAAATTCACTGTATAGGCTACATGCCTGAACAAGAGAGGAGCATTTATTACCAAGCAACAATTTCTACTGGGGAAACGCACTTTGAGCATACGTTTGTTTGCACACATCAGGCACAGAGCACAGACAAGTAATTTTGCAAATCTGTAACACATTTCTACAGGTGCCAGGCGCATGGCATTAGCGACATTTCACTATTGCCCCAGCCGCCGTGTCACTGCTGAAGTTTATTACAAAGCGTTTTTTCCACAGAAGAATAGTTTGTGTGTCTGCTGACTCCATACGCAAACGCACTGAGGTTAAATGAAGGGTTTGACAGAGTTCAAGACAGGGATGCTAAAACACCACA